TGAAGGGAGTGTGTCTTACATGTAAACCTTACTGTACTCTGAGGTCCAAAGGACCGTCTGTCGTGTAACCGGATGTCTCAACCCCCAGGGAGAAGCGTCAGTCAGGGGAAGCTTGTTGTTGATTTGCAGAACACCCAAGAACAAGCAACACACTTTTCCCAGCAGTACCTTAGGGTTTTGCCATTGTAAATGGGTCTAATGTGACATGACAAGACCAGAGAAATTGGATGTAAATTGACATTTTTGGATATGCTTGTTGTTCCGCATGATACATTTAGGGTATGCAGCTCCTTTTGTAGTTTTTATTTTTACTATTTAAGTTTGGAAACGATGCCAAATTTTTGTATTTCTTTAATCAATGTGTTCTCCTTGGTGATATATATTGCATTATATATTGATGTGCGTATCAATAATACCAATATGTGTTACACTTATGCATACAAACACACATAAGTGAGAGGGGTGAAACTGTAGCCTGCACTCCCTAGCCTCTGCAGAGAGGCCCTAAGAGCAGACTTGGTGTTGTGATGTACAGGAACGGAGAAGAATATTAAGCCATATTTAAGAATGAAAAAAGCAGAGGCAGGCAGATCTCTGTGAGTTCGAGACCAGCCTGGTCTACAAGAGCTAGGTCCAGGACAGCCTCCAAAGTCACAGAGAAACCCTGTTGGCCAGTCCATATAATTCTGATTCAATTTGCTCAGCTCATGTGAGGCAGTGTTTTATGTGGGGGAAGACCTGATGCATGGATGCATCCATTTTTGCAGGGCAGTGCCAGACTGAAAGTGTTTGTTTCCTCACCGGTGAGACCAGTGACTCAGCCTCGGTATTTGAATGCAAATAGAGAAACCCCTGTTACAAAACAGAGTCACTCAGGGCTGAAAGCTGCCATATTATGTAAGACCAAATAACAGAACAGGGTACAGACTGACCTCCAAAACATCAGAGTTAAACAGCTGTAGTAAGCCAAGCATAATGACACATGCCCACAATCTAGAATCAGGAGTTCAACAACGTGTTAGAATAAAAATAAAACCAAGCTGGGCGTTGGTGGTGCACACCTTAATTCCAGCACTTGGGAGGCAGAGGCAGGCAGAGCTCTATGAGTTCGAGGTCAGCCTGGTCTACAGAGTGAGTTCCAGGACAGACTCCAAATCTGCAGAGAAACTCTGTCTCAAAAACAAAACAAAATAAATATGTAAATAAATAAATAAAACCAAAATAATGATTTGGGCCAAGGACATGAGACCAACATTGAAACAAGGAAGAGTAAGGCCTGTTGGCACAAGCATGTAATCCCAGCTTCTTTGGAGACTGAGGCAGCAAGATTACAAGAACGCATGGCAAAGCCTTCTAGAAGAAACCCACTACAGTTTAAAGTAATTAATAATAGAACTTTTACACCAGGCAGTAGTGGCACACAACTTTAATCCCAGAGACAGTCAGATCTCTGTGAGTTCAAGGCCAGCCTGGTCTACACAGTGAGTTCCATGACAGCCAGGGATACACAATAAATCCTGTTTTAAAAATATTTTAATTAATTAACTAGTTAACGGAAAATAGAATTTAACGAAGAAAAGGGGTTTATGCCATGCATGCTGGTGCACATCTTTAATCCCTAGTTTGGAGGCAATGAAGATGAATCTGTGAGTTAGAGGACACCCTGGTCTACATAGGAGGTTTCAGGACAGCCAAGACCCTGGAGGTGTGTGGAGGGGATTTATTAGAATGGCTTAAAGGCTGGGGTCCAGCTAACCCAACAATGGCTGTCTACCAACTGCAGTCCAAGAGTCAATAGTTGTTCGCTCCATGAGGCATCCAGGTACTCTTCAGTCTATGCTGTAATCCCCAAAAAAAGTAGTTCTAACGCCAGTGAAAGAATGGATTTGCCAGCAAGAGCAGGAACAGGCTGGCAAAGACAAAAGAAGCTTCCTTCTTCCATGTCCATTTTTCAGGCTGCCAGCAGAAGGTGGAGCCCAGTTAAAGGTGGGTCTTCCAGCCTCAAAAGATCTGCACTAAAGATAAATCTTCCCTCCTTAAACATCTGGGTTAGAAGTGTGTCTTCTCCAGACATAAATCCAAACATTTATGGACACCAGATTTTTAGTAAGCCAGAAATATACACTGGTTCAATAGTGACATGACCATTAAGGGGAGAATTGTCCCCTTTGTGATTGGACTTGAGGACTGCTCCAGAGGAAATGTGTGCTGGATAGTGTACAGTTGGTCAAAAGCCTATTGCTACAGAAGTCTTAGGCAAGGGTAGCTATTGTTTCAGTAAATGGTCCTCTGGTCAAATGGCGTATCTTTTAGTTTATTTATTTATTATGCATACACATGCCAGAAGAGGGCACCAGATCTCACTACAGATGGTTGTGAGACACCACGTGATTGCTGGGTATTGAACTTGTGACCTCTGGAAGAGCAGCCAGTGCTCTTAAGCCCTGAGCCATTATCTCTCCAGCTCCATAAAGACATATTTTTGAAAGATGGGGACATCAGATCTCCTGGTACTGTAGTTACAGGCAGCTATGAACCACCTCTTGTGGGTGCTGTGAGCCAAACATCGATCCTCTATAAGAAATGACTATGCTCAGCTGGGCAGTGGTGGTGCACACCTTTCACCCCAGCATTCAGGAGGCAGAGGCAGATGGATCTCTGTGAGTTTAAGGCCTGCCCGGTCTACAGAGTGAGTTCTGGAACAGCTTCTAAAGCTACAGAGAAACCCTGTCTCAAGAAACCAATAATAATAATAATAGAAATGGCTATACTCTAAATATTGAGAAATTCCCTCAGCCCATAAACCAGTGTTTCTCAACCTGTGTGCCTTGCCACCTTGATGAGGGTCAAAGAACATTTTCACAAGGGTCACCTGAGACAATAGGAAAACACTGATATTCACATTATAACTCATAAAAGTAGCAAAATTAGTTACGAAGTAGCAACAAAAATAATTTTATGGTTGGGGTTACCACAGCATGAGAACTATTTAAAGGGTCATAGCGTTGGGAAAATTGAGGACCACGACCTAAGCATTTTTATACCCATAGATTAGTGCTGCTCTCAACCTCAATGAAAGACGCTTCTCTTTGTAGGGGGCAGCAGTTCATGAGACTCAATGAGTCAAAATGCTTAGCGCTATATAGCATAGTTACATCACATCCCTGCCCTCAAGAAAATCACAGAAGGGGAAGAGTGAACGCTAGACCCAGAAAGTAGGAAAGAGTACTGTGAAATACAGACATACGACTATTGTACAGCAGATCAAGCCAGTGGAATTTCCACATAGATAGGGGAGGGGCTCGTAAGGCCCACTTTTTTTTTTTTTTTTTTTTTTTTTTTGGTTTTTCGAGACACGGTTTCTCTGTAGCTTTGGAGGCTGTCCTGGAACTCACTTTGTAGACCAGGCTGGCCTCGAACTCACAGAGATCCGCCTGCCTCTGCCTCTTAACTGAGGAGCTACTGCCATGATAGTTGCAGGAGAGAGCAGATTTATTTTCTTTCAAGTCTAGCTACCCATGATCCAATGGGTGGTACCACACCAAAGCTCATATAGGTCACACTATTTGCACTCATAGTCTGTGCATAAGTGTTTTCTCTGCACAAAATGTTTGCTTCTTGTGTGTGCCCGTAGCTCGTGGGCTCTAGAAGATGACATCAGATCCCATGGAACTGGAGTTACAGTTGACAGTGAAGGGTGTTGGGAACTGCATCTGGGCACTCTTCACGAACAAGTGCTCTGAACCTCTGGGCTGGCTCTCCATCCAAGGGCTCTCTGTTCTTTTTAAGGGCAGGGAGAAAAGCGTAGAAGATATGTTGGAGAAAGGCTGCAGGAGTCAGGAGAGAAGGGGACAAACGACAGTGGTGTTCGAAGTACACTGCATACATGTATGGAAATCTCAAAGGGCTGTGTTTAACACTTTCTGTTTTATCCACATATATGTATATATACACACACATTTATGTGTGTATGCATTATTTTTAAAGGATCTGGCCGGGCGTTGGTGGCGCACACCTTTAATCCCAGCACTCGGGAGGCAGAGGCAGGCGGATCTCTGTGAGTTCGAGGCCAGCCTGTTCTACAGAGTGAGTTCCAGGACAGCTTCCAAAGCCACAAAGAAACCCTGTCTCGAAAAACCAAAAAAAAAAAAAAAAATAGAAAAAGGATCTGTGGGCCAGGAAGATGGCACAATGCTGTCTACACTAATGACTTGTCTGGATCCCCATGATATACATGGTGGAAAAAAACACTTGCTCCAAGTTGTCCTCTAACCTCCACGCATGTACTATGGCACCAAGCACTCTCAAAAACAAGTAAACGAAGTCTCCTGAGTAGAGTTCAGATGCCAAAGGGGGAAGCAGAGGGACTGGGGAGATGGTGCAGCTGTTAAAGGACCAGTTGCTCTTGCAGAGGACTAGAGTTTGGCCTCCAGCTCCCACACAGGCGACTCCCAACTGCCTGTAAGGCCAGCTCTAGTTCCAAGGAATCTATCTTCTGGGCTTGTGGGCACTGATACGTGTACACTCATACCTCTGCTCCTCCTGCCAGGCCTCCCCCCATAGAATTAAAAATAAATTTTAAGAAACTCAAAGGTGCATCACTTGAGGCAGGACCAAGGCCCTCCCCACCATATCTTGGCTAAGTAAGGTGTCTATCTCTCCATCGGGAATGGCTCCAAAAAGCCACACACTAGGGAAAAATACTGGTTCCCCTGTTAAGCCACAGAGAAACCCTGTCTCGAAAAACCAAAAAAAAAAAAAAAAACCAACTGTAAACCAGCCGGGCAGGCAGTAGTGGTACACATCTTTAAACCCAGCACTCGGAAGACAGAGGCAAGCAGATCTCTGTGAGCTGGAGACCAGCCTGCTATTCAAAGACAGTCCCATGACAGTCTCCAAATCTATAGAGAAACCCTGTCTCAAAAAAAAACCCAAAAAATAAAATTAAAAATAAAAATAACTGTAAACCATGTTAGTCATCAAGATGGGAAAGACACACATTTCACAATTTCAGAACATGACTTTATAATCTCCATGCTGGGGGTAACACACTTATCTTGCTAGAATCCACTCCCATGACACCTGTCAACAAACTTTCTCCCTCATCTTGAATTTAGCATCAACTAACTTTTCTCTCTCGATCTGTAGCATCAGTCTAAAGTCATGTGTTGTGTTTGTGTCCTCTGACTACCTTGTCTTTCATCTCCCAGAATCCACAGCAAGCTTTTGGAAATCGCACACAACTAGTCAGCGATTCTCCGACACTTACACATCATGGTTTTGTTGTAGATATATCGAATGTTGCATTCATGGCAGCGGTCAGCACCAAAATAGACCCTCCCTGGCTTCCTAATGGCTTTCAGTGTGTCCATAAGCTCATCACAAAGGATGCCTGTGTATTCCATATGGAGAGTGCCATTGTCTTCATAGCAATCCTTAGGAATAGGATATAGCTCCATGCTTAGGTGTTTCAAGCTGGCAGTGTGGCGTAGCAGTTTCTTCAGAGCATTCTTGGAGACTTGGTTCCCATAGAAGTTGAAGGTAGTGAGCTGGAGGCAGTTGCTCAGGGCAGGTAAGATGGCATAGAGATAGCGAGCCTTCATGTGACAGTCCTCTAAGCTCAGGGATACCAGGGTGGATGCAGATTTTACTAACAAAACTCGGAGGGGTTCAGGACTTAAATAGACCAATCTGATGTTTTCCAAACTCAGTTGTTTCAACTGACTGACACATGGCAACTTAGAGAGATGGTACCAATCTGAATCTGAGACTTGACAGTTAGTCACTGCCAGGTCATCCAAGGGGGTCTTCAGGGACCTAAGGAGTAAAACAGACAGTTCTTAGAACTGATGACCAAGTAATGATATAGGAGGACAGTGTGGGTCAAGATATTGCCAATTGTACGGCAGGTCAGTACCCATGATTGTCTCTACACACTAAAATCTGTACGAGGTCTGTCACCAACTGCACATCCTTCCCTCCCTGTCAAGAAAGATCCAAATGCTGGCTAGACTAGCAGGGTACACACAGGAAGGACCGAGGAGGATCATCAACCCAGGCAAGATCTGACAATAGACTTGCAGGACCCAATGTCCACCATACCCTCAAGCACATCCTCTCTTTTCCCGTCTCTGTGCTTCACCTCTCCTCCAATTTCATGGCTACACATTTCCCACACAGGCTTAAAACCATCAAAATTGGCTATGGTAACCAGGCACAGTGGTGAACATCGTTAATCCTAGCTCTCTCGGGAGGCAGAGGCAGGTGGATCTGTTGAGTTGGAGGTCAGCCTGTCTATAGTAAGTCCCAGGACAGCCAGAGTTACACAGCTAGATCCTGTCTCTGAAAAAAAGAAGCCAGTATAGTGGTACACACCTATAATGTAGACACTCGGAAGCTGTGACAAGAGAACCAGAGTTCAAGGCCAATCTGGACAACATCCTAAGAAGTCATTTTTAAAACTGATCATCCCAACAGCAGAGATGGCACATACCTTTAATCCCAACACTGGGGAGGCAGAAGTAGATAGAGCTCTTGAGTTCAAGGCCTGCCTGGTCTACAGAGTGAATTCCAGGACCACCAGGACTATTTCAGAGAAACCCCATTTTGAAAAAAAACAAAACAGACCATCTCTGCAGGGTGGTGGTAGCACACATCTTTTTTAATCCTAGCACTCACTTGGGAGGCAGAGTTCAAGGCCCAGAAAAGCCAAGGATACAGAGAAACCCTGTCACTGAAGGAAAAAAAAAGTTCATTCTAGGGTGAGACTGTGTAGCAGATTAAAGGCACCAAGGCTGACATTCTGCTTTTGGTCCTTGGGATCAACATGGTAGGAGAAAACTGACTACTACAAGTTGTCCTCTGACCTCCACTAGTATGCTGTGTTTTGTTTCCCTTCCCACCACCCTGAAACACAAAATAAACCAACATCTGTAGAATAAAATTTCCCCTATTCTCCAAAGAAAGCAAACTGTTGATGTGTGCTCGTAAACTTCAGATATTATCATCAACTCTAAATCTGTACTTTTCAGATATACAAGTTACAGCCGGACGTTGGTGGCACACATCTTTAATCCCAGCACTTGCGTGGCAGAGGCAGGCGGATCTCTGAGTTCGAGGCCAGCCTGGTCTACAGAGCGAGTTCTAGGACAGCCTCCAAAACAATACAGAGAAACCCTGTCTCGAGGGAAAAAAAAGATATAAGTTACTTGATTGTCACTATTTCACTATTTGATTAAATTGTATAATTATATAAATCTAGTCTTAGGAAAAAGAAAACATAGGTCAGCTAACCTGACTGTAATCAAGCTGACAATGATTAATACTTCAGTGTGGCTACAAGGGAAATGCCTGGTAAGCACTCTCAAAGTTTTCATCCATTTCTGTAGGGTGCAGTGAAAAGCATCTATCTCTCAGTTAATAAAAAGAAAAGCCACAGCCTTTCCTGGATGGGAAATTGCAGGCACACTGCTGCGTCCATACATACAGAGCCCAGATGGGGAACTAATGCAGACATGCTTTCACCAATGCCCTCGTCTCTTCCCTTAGTTGAACCACACTAGCTAAGGAAGAAACCAGAATCCACCCACTAGATCTCATTGCTTCATACGGGCTTAACATGGATATCCTTCCAGTCCATGAACCCCAGTTTAGCCCTGACCCTTTGCAACAGAGACAGGTCTCACATAACCACTAAGCCAGAGCAGGCGTGAAACAACGTGCCTTGGCACTGTCAGTCCACTAGGGAGGGTACATAGAGCAGGTGCCCACTAATGCAAAGTAACATGACTTGGCTTTGCTCTGAAGAGCATCTGTCTTTACCCGAGCAGCTGGTGCAGGTGACCCTGAAAGAAGGAGGTGTTATCTAGATGAAGCTTCTGGAGGCATTCCATGTTGAGGAGCTGCGAGGCGAACCCGGAGATGATATGCTTCCTCTCCTCTGGGGAGACAAGGCTCTCTTCGTGGAGGTTAGAGAGAGAGAGCTTGCGCAGGTTCGTCATGTGGCCAAGGTAAGAGTTCAAGTTAAGTAGGAAGGCTGGTTTGCGGAGGCAATACAGGCCCAGCACTTCTATGTGATGCAGGTTCATGCATTCCAAGAAATACTTGCAGTCAGAGAGGGATGGTAACCAAATCTGAAGCTCATAGCAGTACACCTCTAACAACCCTTTCCTCTTCTTAGCCCACTGAGAGAGGAAGAACAGCTTGTTAGCGGGATCATTCCTGAGATACAAGTTCACTGCCACCTTCAAGGGCTGCTTCCCTCCCTCCTTAGCCTCACTTGAGGTCTGTGGTAACCAATTATCTATGGGCCCAGACCAAACATCTGAACAGCTCTGACCCACAGACCGTAAATCCAGCACTTCTAGTTTGTACTCCCTGTGGGGAAAACAGAAAAGAGCTTCAGCTGCTAGGCAAGGACACAATATCTACCCTGTATTTTTTTTTATTCTATCCCTGAACAACTTCATATTCTTGGGTCTCCAAGGAGTTTCTCTTCTTCATAACTCCCAGAGGGAGTCGAGGGAAGGGCCAGGAAGCCACCATTTTCTTCAGGGCATTAACAAGACTACGTTCATAGGCTTGTTTAAATAGTTCCTTCCATTCTCTATCTTATTTTTTTTCATGGCCTTCAGTAAGTACATCCCTGTCCCACTTCTAGTACCCAAGGAAGTAGGGCTATCCTTCAGTCACTGCTGTATCCACCATGAGCCCTGTATAATCACACTCCACAGCCCTTTCCCAGACAGCTCAGCAATAGCCAAAGCCTCTGTAGTTCTCCAAGTTGGCGCCATCAGAATCCTCCCCATCCTTGCCTGCCTTTGCCACCGGACTTCCATGTCTCTGCTCCAGACACTCGACTCCCTTCCCAGGGTACCCGAGTCTTTCTTACCTGGGGCGAACCTTTTGGATAAGCACCCTATCAATTTCCTCTAGGATATATTCTTGGATCTGAAAGAAGTTTCTCTTCTTCATAGCTCCCAGAGGGAGTCGAGGGAAGGGCCAGGAAGCCACCATTTTCTTCAGAACATTACCAAGACCACGTTCACAGGCTTGTTTAAATAGCTCCAGGAAGAACACTGGGGGTAACTTCCCCAAACTAGAGATGATCAAGTTCTCATCTCTCAAAAGGGTCTGCATAGCCAGTTCCTGGAGTGGGGGTACATCCTTGCTGCTCATCTTGGTAGATCTTTGGAGAGGAAGATCCCAGAGAAACATGTAGAAAAAAAAGACATCCATATTTTCATGTTAATGTTTAGTGGACCCTTCTCACTCATCTCAGAAACACAGGGCCACAGTCACAGCTTGTTTCGCTCCCTGTTCCACTGATCCACAAATCCCACACTGCCCCCTGCTATCTCCAGTATTAGTGGCCACAGCCAATGACACTCTCACCCATTCCCAACCAGCTTTGGCGCTGGATCCCTTTCCCAGTGGTAAGTGAGTCCTGAGGACCCTAGAGGCTAACTCCAGGATAACTCCTGGGTTAGTTTTTTTTTTTCTCACTCAGATACTATACTGCTGGGAGCAGTGGCACAGACCTATAACTCTAGTACCCAGAACAGGAGATCTGGGCCTAGAGACAGATGGCTGAGCAGCTAAGAGCACCTGTTGTTCTTGTAGAGGACCTGGACTTGATTTTCAGCCCTCAAATCAGCTCACAACCCCCTGTAACACACACACACATGTGGGGCACCTATGTACATATAGGCAAACACTCATACACACATATGAAACAAATCAAACTCAGGTATGGCGGTGTACACCTTTAACCCCAGGGAGTTCAAAACATTGAGGATCTGAGGTTAATGCCAAAATGGTCTCCATATGGGGAGCAGATGTAGTGATTAAAGGCATCCGAGTTAAAGGCCAGCCTCCTTTGCAGCCAGCACAGCCAGGGCTAGTCTCAAATGCAGGGAAATCCTCCTGCCTCAGCTTCATGAACTGGTATTACAGGCAAGCAACACCCGCTAAGGTGTAAGCTTTTCAATAAAATTTACAGAAAAGAGCCGGGCGTTGGTGGCACACGCCTTTAATCCCAGCACTCGGGAGGCAGAGGCAGGCGGATCTCTGTGAGTTCGAGGCCAGCCTGGTCTACAGAGGGAGTTCCAGGACAACCTCCAAAACAATACAGAGAAACCCTGTCTCGAAAAACCAAAAAAAATTACAGAAAAGTAACTGGGCCGGGCAGCAATGGCACACAGCTTAGTCCCAAGCAGATCTGTAAATTTGTGGCCAGCCCGGTCTACAGAGTGAGTTCTAGGACAGGCTCCAAAGCTACACAGAGGAAATCCTGCATGGAAAAAAAAATTTCAGAAAACTGCCAGGTATGATGGCCTTCATAATCTCAGCCATCAGGAGGCAGAGGCAGGATTGTGTTGGGGCCAGCCTAGTCTACATAGAGAATTCCAGGCCAGGGCTGCATAAGGGAGACCCTGCCTGAAAAATAAAAAATGTACAGAAGACTTAGGCAGATATTTTCAATGTTTAACAATGTTTAAATTTTTTTTTTTGGTGCTGAAAATGCTGGCACTAGCAAGCTTTGTTAGCTCCTCCCACCCCAGCATTTTAAACTACACATTCTACTTATTGGTTTGTCATTACTATTGAGACAGGGTCTCTCTGTTGCATAACATGAAAAATAAAAGACCCAGAGACTGACATTAGGGTTCAAATTTCATTCAAGCTGAAGATCAGAAAAGCAAAGCAGCTGGTCACTAGCTCTTACTCTACCTCAGACTGCTACCTCTCCTCAGCAAGGCTGGAGAACCCTGAAATTTCAAACTAACTACTGAAAACCCTGCTCCTATCTTTTATACCCCCTCTAATGCTGGGATTAAAGGTGTGTGATCCCAGGTGTTGAGATCATCTTTGTATGAACTATTTCTCTTTAGGACTAGATCAATCTTTTTTTGTTTTTGTTTTTCGAGGCAGGGTTTCTCTGTATTGTTTTGGAACCTGTCTTGGAACTCACTAGGTAGACCAGGCTGGTCTCCAACTCAGAGATCTGCCTGCCTCTGCCTCCCGAGTGCAGGGATTAAAAGTGTGCACCACCAATGCCCACCTTGGACTGGATCTATCTTGTGAAGATCTGGATGGCCTTGGACTCACAAAGATCGCCTGTCACTTAATCTTGAGTTCTAGGATTACAGGTGTGTACCACCACTGCCTGATCTCTATAGCTTGAGGCTGATTTTGCTTTCTGAATCCTCAGACAAGCTTTAATAAGTAATAAATACATCACCACTGTTGAGTTCAAGGCCAGACTGAAGTACGTTAATAGTAAGTTCCAGGACAGCCAAAGCTACAAAGAATAACCAAACCCTGTCTTGAAAACCAAAAGCCAAAAAATCACTTCAAACAAAAACCAATCATCCCAGGCTATGGTGGTGCAAGCCTTTAATCCCAGCATTTGGGAGGCAGAGACAGCTGTATCAATGAGTTTGAGGATAGCCTGATCTTACAGAGTGAGTTACAGGACAGCCAGGCATCATACTGATGCATACCTTTAACTCTAGCACTGGGGAGGCCAGCAGATGAGTTCAAGGCTAGCCTGGTCTCCACGTATCTACAGAGTGAATTCCATCCCACCAGCTATATAGTAAGACTCAGCCAAAAAAACAAAACAAACAAAAAACCCACAAATTAGATCAGGAATGTAGCTCAGTAATGGAGCAATTGCCTCGTATGAGCAAGCCTATGGCCAACCCTATTGTATGAACTTTCCCCTAGGGAAATATGAACAAGTAAGTCATCACTCCAGGTAATACACTAGTACTAAGTTAAGCTTCCCACCCATGTCCAGCTTGGCCAACCAAAGAATTGATCACATTTTTTATAGAGGATCATGGGTGAAGGGTTACTTACAAGAGTCTAAAGTAACCCAAACAGTCCCACCCCAGCATGATAATCCCAAACCTCTTAGATGGAACCCTTCCTTTCAGCTAACCTTCTACCTCCAAGTCTCCTCAGACCGGCACTTAAGGCAGAGTTATATACAGCTGGGATTGGGTCACAGGTGGTGGTTAGCACCCCCCATCATGGAAGGTCAATAGGCACGATCAAGTAACATCAGCTGCTCTGATTAAGATATTAATGATGCCTAGGAACCAGAGAACATTACACAACAGCCTCACTATTTTTTGGTTTCAAGAAAGAGTCTCCCAATGTAGTTTAGGCTGGCCTCTAAATCTTATCATTCTTCTTGCCTCAGTTTCTCTAGTTTACAGGCCTGTGCCAGCATTTTTAAAGTTTAAAAATTTTTAATATCCAGGCGTGGTAGCACAGGCCTTTAATCCTAGAGCTCGGGAGGCAGAGGCAGGCCTCTGTGAGTTTGAGGCCAGCCTGGTCTACAGAAATTTCCAGGACAGCCTCCAAAGCCAGAGAAACCCTTTCTCGAAAAAAAAAAATTAATATAAATAGGCAGGCATAGTGGTGCATGCCATTAATCCCAGCTTTCTGGAGGCAAAAGCAGGAAGTCTCATTGATGCTATCCCGGTGCACATATTGACTTCTAGGACAACCAGAGCTACATAGAGACCTGGTCTCAAAAAATAAAACTTAATGTAAAATAAATGAAAAACAGAAATTAAAATGGTTAGGCAAAGCCGGGCGTTGGTGGTGCACGCCTTTAATCCCAGGACTCGGGAGGCAGAGGCAGGCGGATCTCTGTGAGTTCAAGGCCAGCCTGGTCTACCGAGTGAGTTCCAGGACAGCCTCCAAAATAACAGAGAAACCCTGTCTCGAAAAACAAAAAACAAACAAACAAACAAAAATGGTTAGGCAAGCCCTTAACTGAGAGGCACTGCTTGCTAGCAAAGCAGCAGCCAGCCTGATGTCTTTGAATGAGACCAGTCAGAGCTACCCGGTTGGGACCTTGTCTCAAAGATGGTGGCTGTGGGGCAGAGCGATGGTTCAGGGACTAAGTGAGCTGGCTGTTTCCCCCGAGGACTAAGGTTGAATTCTCAGCACTCACATGACTCACAGCTCCGGTTCTGGAGGAACGCCCTCTTCCAGCCTTCACAAGCATTATTTATGTGAAATAGACATAGTACAGGTAAAACATCCATTGTGATTTCCAGGACAAGCCTGGGATACATAAGATTTTTATCTTAAACCAAGGAAAACAGCCAGGCATTGGTGATACACGCCTTTAATCCCAGCACTTGGGAGGCAGAGGCAGGTGGATCTCTGTGAGTTCAAGACCAGCCTGGTCTACAAGAGCTAGTTCCAGGACAGCCTCCAAAGCCATAGAGAAACCCTGTCTAAAAAAAAAAAAAGGAAAACATTCTGTTCAACTATGTGTCCAAATCAGGGCCGGACAGTGGTGGTGAATGTCTTTAATCCCAACACTCGGGAGGCAGAAGCAGGCAGATCTCTGTAGCTCAAAGCTAACCTGGTCTACAAAGCAAGTTCCAGAACAGCCAGGGCTGTTGAACAGAAAAACCCTGTCTCAATGTCCCCTGCCCCCACAAAAAGGAGTCAGAGACTGTAATAAATCAAGGTGCATGCAGTCAAGGTACACGTACTCACGACTACTAGAAATTGGATGTACAGAGCTCTCAGGCTAGTCCAGAAGACCTGGGGTCAGGAAGTGATCCTATTGCAGAGGCAGTAGGTCGGTTTCCAGGCTAGCAAGGGAGAAGAAGTATGTCAATTGAGGTGAGCGATTTACCACGAGAGCTTCCTATCCAAGTTGGGCCAGGTATCACTCCAAGCTTCTGGAAATGTCTTCTCTGGCTCCTCTGGAGTTTTATGCTGGCCACTACTAACGCCTCCCCTTTAGGGCTGGTGCTCCTAACATAAACTGCTGCTATCTGATTAGACATTTGAAACTCCGCCCAGTAGTCCTGTTGAGTTTGTCTTTCCTAGTATTGCGTGATTAAGATGGCCGAAATGGAAATACTTAATGGAATTCAAGGGCCATTTGTGAATTCACTCGACAGACATTGACACTTCCCATTGGATGAGCTTCAGTGGGCAGAGAAACAGCAAAGGGTTTCTTCTGTTTCTCTTCATGGACTGACAAATAAACAAAAACACAAGACATGCAGGCACAGGCCTGTAGTCCCAACACTTGGAATGTGAAAGCTGGGGGGTTAGGAATTTCAGGTGCCCCCTAAACTACATAGTGAGGGCCAGCCTGGGTTACATGAGATCCTGTCTCAAAACTGGGGCCAGGAAGATGACTCAGAGGGTAAAGGCACCTTATGCCAAGCCTGATTGCCTGAGTTGGAATCACATGGTAGAAAAACCAAAACAAAACAATTCCTTTACATAGAAATAGGTACTGAGGCTGGGAGGTGGTAGCAGATGTCTTTAATCCCAGCACTCATGAGGCAGAGGCAGGCAGATCTCTGAGTTCAAGGCCAGCCTGGTCTACAGAGTTCCAGGACAGTCAGAGCTATATAGAGATACCCTGTCTGGGAAAAATAAAGTTGGTTCTTTTAGACTTGGTTTTAGATTTTATTAGGGTATGATAATGTTTTAACATGGTAAAGGCAGGGATGGGGTGTGGCTCTGTGGTAAAACTCCACCAGCACACCCGTGGTCCTGGGCTCCATTCCCAAGCTTCACAAAGGAAATATCCCAATAATAGCTTCCTTCCTTCCTTCCTTCCTTTCTTTATTTATTTTTTTGGTTTTTTGAGACAGGGTTTCTCTATTTTGGAGGTTGTCCTAGAACTCACTCTGTAGACCAAGCTGACCTGGAACTCACAGAGATCCGCCTGCCTCTGCCTCCCGAGTGCTTGGATTAAAGGTGTGTGCCACCAATGCCCCCTATATTCACTTTCAAAATTGAGCAATCTGTAAATCTGTATACAGTTGAGGAAAATAGTGAAACAAGGGACTGGATACATGGTTCAGCACTGACTGCTCTTGGAGTAAGTGGGTTTGGTTGCCAGAATCCACATGATGGTTCCCAACTGTCTATTACTCCAGTTCCAGGGGATCTGATGTTTCTTCAATGTGTATACACGGTGTGCATACATATACTTAGGCACATGTACATAAAAACAAGTATTTTAAAAATAATCAAGGCCCGTGTATCTACCCACCCCAAGGACAATGGTATCCCCATTCTTCCCCTGCTGACCCTATATTCCTATCTTTTCTTTCTTGTTTTGTGTTTTTGTTTTGTTTTTCAAACTGAGATTTCTCTGTGTAGCCCTGGCTGTCCTGGAACTCACTCTGTAGACCAGGCTGACCTCCAACTCAGAGATCTGCCTGATTCTGCCTCCTGAGTGCTCAGAGACACCTACACACCCAGTTGCCTTTTCTAACCAGTTATACAAATGACAAAGAAGAATTCAAGATAGGATTAAGGGTTGAGTGTCCACCAGGAATACAAGATTGCCTTAACATCTGAAAATCTACTGATAGCCAGCCAGATATGCTATGGCATACTTGTAATCCCAGAACTCCAGAGGCAAGGCAGAGGGCTCAAGAGAACTTAATGTCAGTCCTAGGCTACATATTCAACCCTATCTCAAAATAAAGAAAACAGAAATAATTTCTTGTTATTGTTGTTTTGAGACAGGGTCTCTCAATGTAACTGGGGCTGTCCAGGAATATACTATGTACACCAAGCTAGCCTCAAACCTGCAAAGATCCACCTGCCTCTCCTGAGTGCTGGAATTAAAGGCATGCACCGCCACACCCAGCCTAATTAAAAAAAAAAAAAAGAAGTTTTTTTTTTTATTAAAGGAAACAAGCAAGAAAGCTTGACTTGAAAATCAATTGCTCCTGAGGCCAGTCTGGCCTATGTGTATGTTCCAGGCCAACTGGGGCCATAGTATAAAATTTTGTCTCCAAACAGAAACAAAAGAAATCAGTTGCTACTACACTTAACCATACCAATGAAAATAAATGTTATCTCTGTCTAAGCCCATGATTTGACAAGATTTGAATACTTTTGTTCAAAACAAGACCAAGTGTTAGGCCTTTAATCCCTGCACCTGAGAGGCAGGGCCAAGTAGATCTCTGTGAGTTCTAGACCAGCCTCGTGGGAGCCTATCTGGAAAAAAAAAGGAAACAAAACCTAAGTCGGATGGAGTCTTGGTTTCCCATCTGAGGGAAGTGTCTACTGAATGATGTGGCCTGTATCTAGGCTGTATCTAGGGGAAGGCTTACTGATATATGTTACACATTTTGTATCGGCTGGCATGATACTATCCAAGGCGGCTTGAAGAGAGTGGCTTTGGATGGAGCTGAGTGGTGACAAACAGACTCAGTGTATATTCCAAGCCCTGGGTTGGCTCCTCAGCCCCAAAGAAGTAAAGAAATGTTTGATTCGGGCTCTAGATCACAGATGGTCTCACATTTGTTGGTAGGTCATCAAGCTGGTTGAAATCTGTTCCTGCTTAGTGTACCAAAAGCTTGAAGCTGAACGTATTAGAGCCAACAAGGGCAGAGAAGGCACTGAGTTCAGCATCAAGGTCATGGGTTTCATAGGTTTTGTTTTTTTTTTTTTTAGAGGAATCCACCTATATTATTTGCTTGACCTCCAGTTGGCCTAAATAACTGTAAAGACCAGGCTGGCCTCAAACTTACTGCGCTCCACCTGCCTCTGCCCACCACGTGCTGGGATTAAAGGCCTGAGCTGCTGCACTTGATCAGTTTTTGAGTTCCTAAGGGAGTGGCTCTAGAGGCCATTAAGGCTAGTGGAAGACTTCTGCCCAATTTGGTTTATTGCACATTTAATTTGCATGTGTAGGCAAGGAGACAACTTCTGTGAGCTGACTCTCCCCTCCCACCAACCATACTGATTCTAAAAGTTTGTTCTTCAGGGTAGCAGGCCCCTTTGGTTTTTGTTTGTTTGTTTTTGTTTTTCGAGGCAGGGTTTCTCTACATTCCTAGAAGTAGCTCTGTAGACGAGGCTGGCCTCGAACTCACAGAGATCCGCCTGCCTCTGCCTCCCCAGTGCTGGGATTAAAGGCGTGTGCCACCAACGCCCGGCCTAGCAGGCCCCTTTGTTGAGAGCCATCTTGCTAGTTGAGGCAATTTAGTGTAAGTAAATTAGATTTCAGACTGGGTGGTGGTGTGCATGCCTTTAATCCCAGCACTTAGGCAGACGGATCTATGTGAGTTCAAGGATAGCCTGGTCTACAGAGCGAGTGCCAGGACAGGCTTCAAAACTACACAAAGAAACCCTGTTTCGGGAGGAAAAAAAAATAGGTTTTACAATACTGTTTTCTGATAACCTTGAATAGGACAAGGGCAAAGTTAGTACTACAGCACCCTTCAGATATGCATCTGCTCTGGGTGTGGTTTCCCAACCCCAGGGGGGCAGAGGCAGGCAGATCTCTGTTCTCTTTTTCTATTATGTGGTTCCCAGAAAGACCATGAGGTCATTAGGCTTGGAAACACTTTCCTTTACCTGCTTAGACACTGACCAGTTAGTTCCTTAAATGATTGCTGTTACTGTTATAGTACCAGGACTTCTACAAATGTACAGTCTTAAGTCATTTTGAAAGCAGGCAAGTTACCACCTGAGTATAAGGAGTCACTAGCCCTTTGGCTGAGCTACTGCTTTAAATGAGGTCTGCCTTCAGGGTCTCCATGGTCCAGCAGGTCTCCCACAGACCTGAGATGTTAAACATCTCTGGGTTTAGGTGTCTGAAAAGCTAGAAGCTAGTTTACCATTTTGGTTTCTCTGTGTGCGCTTTGTTTTGCCGTTAGCGATTTATTTAATGCTTTTGGTTTTTGGGGGGAGGGAAGTTGGGACAAGGTCTCTATAACTAGCACTAGCTGTCCAGGAATTAGTTCAGGCTGATCTAGAACTCACAGAGATCCACTTGCCTCCCCTTCCATGCCTGAGTGTCAGTAACCAGATTAAAGGTGTGGGTCACCAAGTCCCTTTTGTTTTGGTTTGGTTTGGGGGAGTCTCACTAGGCTTTGTTTTTGCTTCTGTTTTATTCTTGTTTCCTAGTCTCACTATGCAGCCTTGGCTGTCCTCACAAAGATCTACCTGTCAGTGCTAAGATAAAAGGGCTTACACCATTTCCCTTGGGTATTTATACTTAGTTGATTTGTAATTTTAGGGCCTGGTCTCAAACTCACAGTGTTGTAGAGAATAACCTTGAATTTCTGATCCTTCTGCTTCTACCTACTGTGTATTAAGACTGCAGGCATTGGACACAAGCATTTTAATCAACTGATCTGCATCTCTAGTCTTCCTCTGCGCCTAACCACGGAGCCATCTCTCCAGCCCAAGGTATAGTTTAATGAAGTAACTCTGGCTAGCTGGGAATTCCCCTGTAGCTTCCTGAATGCCTGTACTGCACACGTGTGTGCTACTAAGACTGCGTGAAATAGCCATGTGGAGTATAGGGACGTCCATGAGCTATCCAGGAAAGCACCAACTGCTATGAGGTGCCAGCTGGGGGACAAAAGTGTGACAGGCACACTTTGTCCTGTTAACAGGTTAAATTTGCCATTCCATTACTAGCTGAATAGGTGAGGAATTTGCAGTCAGTGGGCACAGACAAAAGACTGTTTTCAAACTGGGAAAAGATGAGTACCAACCTAAGTAAGAAAAACAATTTAAAATTGTGGTGCAGTGGAGGCCAGAACTACATAGTGAGACGTTTTTCAAGAAAAACAAAAAGCTACATGGAAATGGTTTAAAAAGGGGGGGGGACAGTAAAAAGACCACGGTTGCCTTGGATTTGGGGGAGGCAGGATAAATCTTGAAGCATTAAAGGTTTTTCTTTTCTTTTTCTTTTTCTTTTTTTTTTCTTTTTTCTTTTTTGTTTGTTTTTTGTTTTTTGAGGCAGGGTTAATCTGTGGCTTTAGAGGTTGTCCTAGAACTAGCTCTTGTATTCCAAGCTGGTCTCGAACTCACAGAGATCTGCCTGCTTCTGCCTCCCGAGTGCTGGCATTAAAGGCGTGTGCCACCACCACCCGGCGAAGGTTCTTCTTCAAATATCATTTTATTTGCTTATTACTTGTGTCTCGTTTGTCACAGGACACATATGGTCACAGAAAAGAGCTATGTGGATTCAGTTCTCTCCAGCCTTTCCATGGGTTCTGAGGCTTGAACACTGGTCAACAGGCTTTCCTTGCCCACTGGGCCATCTCAGAGGTCCCCTTGAAGGTTTTGACCGGTCTCAAGCAG